TTTTTTTTTTTTTTACTTTTCATTTGGAGACAGGGTCTCACTTAATTGCTGGGGCTGGTCTCAAACTTTCCATCCTCTTGCCTCAGCCTCCCAAGTTGCTGGGATTACAGGCATGTGCCACCATCCCTGGATCCCAGCCCTTTTCATTTTATTTTGAGACAAGATTTCTTTGAGTTGCCCATGTTGGTCTAGAACTTGTGATCCTCCTGCCTTTCCCTCCCAAGTAGCTGGGATTACAGTCATGTACCACCACACCTGACTGGAAAGTTTCTCCTCCTAATTAATGTAGAATCTGAACAATAAGGAACTAGGAAATATAGACTCTGTCATCAGTGATAAAGACCTAGAGAATAATTTTTCTCCACAAGAAGGAAATTTCAGAATATTTGTAACAGAGAGTCTTTCCTTTGACTAAATTCTATAAACAGCAACTGTTTCCTTCTTTCTGTTTTTTCATTCTTTGTCCACCCATGTCTTCTGATAACATTGCAGAATATTCCCATCCTTATGGCTTCAAATTCTTGTTTTATCTGAGGATATTTTCATGAACTATCTTGGACATCCCCCTATGTAGACTTATCTCATCATAGTACAGTCATTCAGAGTGCATCTCTTTTATGACCCTTGTAAATTTGTACTTACCTAATTTTTATTTCTATCCTATTTGAGATATGTCACATACTGGTAATCAAATTGGTGTAAATTCAGAAGAAGCAGTTTCAAACTTATAAAAGAGGTTATGATTCAAAAGTTGTTTATACTTTCTAAAACTCTTGTTTTACATTGTTTGGGATTTATCATTATAGTTTTATAGAAATATATGGTGAATGATGATTAGGTTCTCAGACTACTCCTCCATTAAGTCTCTTCACATGACTCAAATAATATAGGGTATACTTTAAATTATGAATCCCCAAACCAATCACCCTCATGAAGGAAGGTTGGGAGGCTTGCTCAGGGCAAATTTTATAATTAGGTCAGGTTGATCTTTGGCATCTCTCCTTTTCCTTAACCTCCCAGATTTCCTTGTCTAGAATTTCTAAGAACTAATGTCTTTAATTTCCCAGAGCTCTACAATGCATAATATTATGTTTATTCTACCCAAGCCCTGTAGACTCCAAAATGACATAGGCCCACTAATTCTCCATCATTACTACTATGGAATCAAGCAGGGTGTCACATGTTAAGAGGAACACAATCTGATTGAATTGATGTTGAATAACAGAAAGTCTAAAATCCTGCTAAAGGGTTTTGAGTTTTTAAGAGTTTATTTTTTTCTTCATACAGTCAACACTGGTAGAATTTTAGAAAGTATAATAAAAGTGAATGTAACATTCAAATCATGTGAGGATATATAATTTACCATAGCTAGGTCATATCCTGTGAGTCTATCCACTTACATCCCAATCTCTAGTTTTTAAACTTGTTTCCCTATTATTTTACTTGTGAACCCTTCAGTTTCTCTAAAAATGTCAAGTTTTATTTTTCCAGCAGAATAGCAGCAGCCTCTAAGGGATGGCCTGTATATAAAGGGGGGAACTGTCTTGGTGAGAATATCTCTTGGTGAGAAACTACTTGACAAAAAGAATGGGTAGAAAAAAGAAAGGAGAGCAAAAGCAGAGAAACTGAAGACTGAGGTCACGAACCACTGCCCAGGCTGGACGTGGTTTGGCACACATCTATAATCCCACCTGCTTGAGAGGCTGAGGCAGGAGGATTGTGAGTTCAAAGCCAGCCTCAGCAACTTGACAAAGCCCTACACAACTCAGCGAGACCCTGTCTCTAAATAAAATATATATATATATATTTTTAAAAAAGGCTGTGGATGTGGCTCAGTGGGTACACCTAGGTTCAAACCTCAGTACCAAAAACAAAACAAAACAAAACAATAACAACAACAAAAATAAAGCCACAACACAACAACAACAAAAACCCTGCTGAGTAAATGAGGGGAAACAAGTATTCTCACACAGTGTAGGTGGGAATGCAAAATAGGACCATGTCTGAGAAGTGGTGAGAAGAACTTAGCAAAATCTTATATTTTTTTTATTTTCTTTTCTATGAAACCTTTGATGTAGCAATCCTGCTTCTTGGAATTTATCTTCTTGCTAATTGGCAAATACAAAAGAAGAGTGTACACTGTCATGGCCTACAGCATTGTTTGTAATGGCAAAAGACTGGAAAAACCAACATATTCATTAATAGAGGACTGGTAGAATAAGTCATGGTACAGCGACACAATACTGTACAACTGCTAAAAAGAACGACGAGGCAGGAGCCAGGTGTGGTGGCATACTCCTGTAATCTCACAACTCTGGAGGCTGAGGCAGAACTATCCCAAGTCTAGGAAAGTCTCAGCAACTTAGCAAGACCCTGCTCAAAATAAAAAAGGCCTGGGAATGTAGCTCAGTGGTATAGAGTACCCCTGGGTTCAATCACCAGGACCACACACACACACACACACACACACACACAAAGAATGAGGCAGGACTGGGAGTGTAGCTCGGTGATAGCCTTGTGCTCAGCATTTACCTGGCTTGGCCCTGGGAACAATAGTACAATGTCCAGCACACACACAAAAAAAAGCAGATATAATGACATGGAACAAACTATAAGATGTATTGTTAAGTTGAAAAAACAAGGCACAGAACAGTATGAATTGTGTGCAACCATTTATGTACATTATTGTTATGTACATTATGTACATTTATGTACACCCATACATGCTTAGAGCATCTCTGGGAGGAAATAGAATAGGTTGAGTAAGTGGTTTCCTCAGGGATAGAGAACTGGAGGAATAAGAGAAAGGAATAGAAGGGAGACTTACTTTTCACTGCAGTGTGCTGTGTGAATATTTTACTGTGTGTATCCAAAATAAATTAAAAATTAAAAATATTGTCAAAGAAGACTTATAAGAAATGAAGATCATTTGAAAAAAAACATAGGATACCAGGGCTAGAAGGGATCTTTGGGATTAGAAAATTGGTTCTCAGAGAAAATAAAGATTCACCTAAGAGGAGGATAATCTGTTTCCTTGTGGCTTTCTTTAGCTGCTACTAAACACCAGCTGCTATGTCAATTAAAAGTGCATACATCCATCTCTTCCAATCTCACCTTTGCCTGTTAGAATGGATCCAGTCTGGAACTTGGATGTGGGGATTAGGTGACAGCTTGGGGAAGCAGAGCTGTTTCTATGGGGAGCAGCAATGACTCTTAGGTTCTTCAGAACAGGTTTGACTTCTGGCCTCCCCTCCAAGTATAGAAGGTTGACTTTCACTTTGCTCCCAGAGCCAAGGCACTGCAGGGTAGCCATAGTCTGATTTTGGATAAATGTGGCCCTTTTGGCTTCTGTGTGAGTTTCTAAAGGAAGAGCCAGAGAGAACAATAAAGCTTTTTAAAAATATGAACAGTGCCCAGCTAACTCAGTTCCATTCGTGACCCCTGTTAAACTCCATTGCTGCACTTTCACCTCTTTCTCAGTATGTATTTATGACACTAAATAATGCAAGTCCTGCTTTTCTTCCATCCTGCTATAGGTTTCATAAAGATAGGTGACTGCTGTAAATTCAGCACAGAGAAATGTTCATAGATTGTTTTCTTTAATGCAATGAACAGGTGCTGTCTCATCTTTCTTCGTCCCCATCTTTGATTTATATAGGCATGTCTTAAGTACTAAGTTAATTTAAAGATTAGTTTTCAGAAAGTCTCCAGGGGGAGGGGATACATATCTTTAAAATAGTATATTTGAGATCTGGACTACGAAGGAAGGAGACAAGGCACATTTTAAAGACAAAAATTTCTTGGTATGGAAAAGTGTTTTTCTAGATAGGGCCTTGTTTCCTACCTTGCATTAGGAATTCCCTCATGCTTTTCACATCCTTTGGGAAGAGCCCAGGGAACTGTTCCACTTGGCAGCTGCTTTCTCTGAGGTCTAGGGGGAAAAAAGGTCAGAATTTATCGGTACTTACTTGTTGGAATTCTGGGCATAGGAGAGGGAAACAAAAGAATAAAGTTCCTACTCATAAAACTTGCAGCCAGGGAGACTAAATACTTCCTATAAAAAAGACTTTAAAACACACAAATGCATACAAGTAAGAATTAGCCTATTATAAAGAAAACTGAATACCAATCTACTGCTGTTAGGACAAAGAAAAGTGAAATAAAGTTACCAAGTTAATGAAAGAGTAACTAACCTATTCCCTAAAGGAATAGGTTACTATTCCCTCTTCTTCTGCCAACTGTATTAAAGAGCACGTTTGGATTAAGTATTGCCTTGGACATTTTATCTCTATGGATTTTCACAGACTCATAGATCATAGTTATCTGTGCATTTTGGCACACATGTGATTTACAGGGTATAGGAATTTTCATAATTTGTTATATTTGGTAACTACTGCACCTTCCACTATTTTCCTTAACTCTAAATAGCTAATTTTAGAGATGAAATGTTTAGGAAATGCTGAAAAGCCATATTTTAAATAAAGTAACCAAAGAACAGCATATAGTTTCATTCCACCCTCACAGTACCTTTTCCCTCAGCTCTCCCTACCCACAGCACCCTGTCTAAATATGTGGACATGCCACCTTAAAAATGAAGGCAACATGAGCTGGGGCTATAGCTCAGTGGTAGAGCACTTGCCTTGCATGTGTGAGGCACTGGTTCAATCCTCAGCACTGCATAAAAATAAATAAATAAAATAAAGGCATGCTGTCCATCTATAACTACATTTTTTTTAATGAAGGCAACGTCTTATAAGGAGTTATGAATTTGGGTGTCTTAGGTAGGGACAACATGGAAACTGTGACAGCATGCTTTCATAAAGAAAGATAACAGTGAAAGGACTTTTAATGTTAATTACACGAGCCATACAGAAGAATGCATTACATTCACATCATGAATAAGTTGAGTAAGTTGCAATCCTGCTTAGAGGCAAGAGGACATATGGTATAACTTCTGGAAAGTATCACTTGCTGGGTATTGGCTATTTCCCTTCTGGTGGAAAAGACTCAAAATGTTTCTTAGGCCTCTCTTTCCCATGATATTATCCTATGCAAGTACTTACCTTTCTTGTTGGAATCACAGGATACAATGATTAGGCTGAAGACTAAGATGGTATCCATGTTAGCTTGAGCACTCATGACAAAGATAGTCCACTGTTAATCTGTCATTGCCCCTTATAGTCTTGCTGTAGTTGCTTTCACTTGCCCTGAAACCAGGTTTCACCCTGTGAGAGTCTGGTTCCACCCTAATTATTTTGTCTTATTTCCTGAAGACCCAGGGATAGAGCTGATTGGAGAAAGAGTCAAGTCTGTTTATTAATGATTGACTTGGAAGGTCTTCCCCTGACTTTACTGCTGGGTGCTGACACAGAGAACTGTAATTACCTAGAGGTTTCCCTAGTATAAAGAGTATAAACATCCAGTGATATGTTCACTGACACTTGCAGATAGACACGTACACATTCAATACATGCCCACTGATACAGGCACAAAGATACACCAACATAAAAGGATGTGGAGATTTCTATTAAGGAATGCAATTTCTAGAGAGAACAAGAAAGTAGGACAGAATGACTCAGTGACTTACACTGGAGAGAGAACTGGAATAGGAATCAACATAACTGGGTTCTAGGGCTCTGTTATTAACTATATCACATTAGGAAAATTAATTAAATTCTTAGGATTTAAATTTTCTCTTCTATAAATGGAGAGTCCAAACAAAAATATCTCTAAAATTCATTCACAGTTATACACATAAACTCAAGAGCATAGATGTAGTTATCAAGTTTTGCATATTGTCACACTCCTAAATAGTGAAGTAAGTATAGGTTAACATTCCTATGATTAATGGGTTAAAAGGTGAAGAAGAGCTAAATACGATAGGTTTGCAGTTTGGAAAAGTTTTCCTTAGACAAGTAAGTGATGTTGAAAATTTTTTCCAAAATTGCTTCTTTTAACAAAGAGTATACACTTAATGTAATACATTAATGTAATGTAATACATTAAAGATGGTGTAGCTAAGTAGATCATAAAGGAGAAATTACTGAGATACTTGCCGAAGTCCAGAGCCTCTGCAGCCTTTCTACCCACTGTAAATGTCCTCCAATGGAGCCAACATGGGTTTAACCGGATATGAGAGGCTCTGGAGGCTGAAACTTATTGGTACAGTTATAAAGGGAGCTTGGATGCAAAAGACTTTCCAGGAGGGGCCTTATGAGATTTCAATCAAATTTCATTTAAATACCACCCTGTCTCATGACACTTTAATACAGCTTGAAATCTGGCTAAAATGAGCATCACAGAAGTCTTGGTGGGGAAAACTAAAGGGAAGAAATGTTACTGAAGGACATTTTAACTGAAAGTGGAAGAAGAGGAAGTGGTGGGCATCCAGACACAGAGCAAGCCACTCCCTTCCCTCTCCCCAGTACTGTGGATTGAACCCAGGGCCTAGGCTTTCTAGGAAAGAAATTTACTGCTGAACTACATCCCCAGTCCCCTCACCCTTTTTAAAAATGTTTTTAGTTGTAGATGAACACATTGTCTTCCTTCCTTCCTTCCTTCCTTCCTTCCTTCCTTCCTTCCTTCCTTCCTTCCTTTCTTCCTTTCTTCCTTTCCCAGGACCTCACACATGCGAGGCGAGCACTCCACTTCTGAGCCACAGTCACAGCCCCCTTTTTATATTTCTGAGACATGGCTTCACTAAATTGCTGAGGCTGGCCTCAAACTTTCAGTCCTCCTGTCTCAGCTGGGATTACAGCTGTGTTCCACCACACCCAACCAGAGCAAATATTTATTAGTATTGTTCCCTTTTTCCCTGTTACAGTTGCCTGATACTCTTAGCACAGGAGGTGATTAGGGCAAAATAAAGGGATCCATTGCCTTTCTTGGGTTTTATGGTTTTTCTTTACTGTTTTCTTAACATGATTACATGGTTCTCTACTCCTTTGTGGTATTGACCTGACTGTTCTATTTGAAATTTTCTGTAGATTAGTTCCTAGATGCCACATTGCAGTACTGCCACCTTGTAGTTGTGGTAGGAATGATCTGAGGGCTTGATATTCTCACCTATGACACAAGGTGGCAGAAGAGCTCACTTTTACCAAAAGAGACCTTATGCTTGGGGGAAAATAAAGTAGTTTTCTTTTATCAACTCTCAGATCCTAACTCTTCCTTTTGTAATTTGGAGGCCCAAAAGGTGGCCTGCATATTGAAGCAGGTCTTACTGTGAGGAACAGAGAATCAGGAGTTCTGCAATTAATAAGGAAAAAAAATAGTGGTAGAGAACTAGATCCAGAACTACTTCTCTACAATTTTTTTTTTTTTTTTGGTGGGGGGGGGGGAAACAAGGATTGAACTCAGGGGCACTCCACCACTGAGTCACATCCCCAGCTCTACTTTTTTCTTTTCTTTCTTTCTTTCTTTTCTTTTCTTTTCTTTTCTTTTTTTTTAATTTAGAAATAGGGTCTCACTGAATTGCTTTGAGTCTCTTTTTTGCAGGGGCTGGCTTTAAACTTCAGATCCTCCTGCCTCAGCCTCCCAGGCTGCTTGGATTACATGTGTGTGCCACTATACCAGCCAGGCTCAGCTGATTTTTTAAGTGTTTGATATGTCTGTGAAGGAGAGGATATCAATTCTGATCTCCTACACACACATACACACAGAAAGAAAGAAAGAAAGAAAAAAAGAAAGAAAGAAAGAAAGAAAGAAAGAAGGAAGGAAGAAAGAAGAAGAAAACACATCAAATTTGGAAGGAAACAAAGATATAGCAAGTGAGTTTTATGATGTGTGATGTATGCAGTCCAGAGATGTGACTGCTGGAAGAGAGTAGAAAACTAAGGCTGAATGTCAGAGTGGGTCTGGAGGAGGAACCCCTGATAGGAAGAAAGCCCACCTAAGTTCTAGTTTAGATTCCGTAATAAACTAAGTCACTTGAACAAGTCACTTAAACTCTCTGGCTTTTGTTTCATTTTCTTTAATAAGTTGGTTGAGGGCTGGAGATGTGGCTCAAGCAGTAGCACGCTCGCCTGGCATGCGTGCAGCCCAGGTTCGATCCTCAGCACCACATACAAACAAAGATGTTGTGCCCGCCAAAAACTAAAAAATAAATATTAAAATTATTTTTAAAAAATGAGTTGGTTGGGAAAAAATGGCTTCTTAGAACTCTCTTTCAGCTCTAAAATTATCTTAGTTCACTTACCTTACCTACTCTTTCTTTTAAGGGTGTGTGCCTTCTGTTTTTTTTTATAATTTAAAAAAATTAATGGTAGAATATTTATAGAACAAGTATATTTTAAATAATAATAATGATACTGATAAGTTAAACACCATGTATTCATCATTATTAAGAAACTGAACATTGCATGCTGGGTGCAGTGGCAAATAAATGTAATCCCGGCGACTCTGAAGGCCGAGATAAGACGATTGCAAGTTCGATGATGCCAGCCTCAGCAACTCAAAGCAAAACAAAGACCTGGGAATGTAGCTCAGTGGTAAAGTGCCCCTGGGTTCAATGCCCAATATAACAAAAAAAAAAAAAAAAAAAAAAAAAAAAAAAAAAAAAAAAACAAAGAAAGAAATTGAACATTGCTAATGTCTTAGAGGCTCTTTAATGCCTGTCCCTTTGTTCACACTCTTATCTTTTTCTCAATCTTGTCTTTTTCATGCTTTATAAAAATACTGAACTATCACTATCTATGCATCACTAAAAATATTGTTTATTTTAAATAATAATAATAATAAGAAGAAGAATGTCTGCTTTTGAACACTATATACTACTCTTTATTTTATCTGATTTTTTTCAAACATTTTTATTTTTAATTAACACATATTAGCTGTACATATTTATGGGGTACAGTATAACATTTCAATACATGTACACAATGTGTAATAATCAGATCAGGGCAATTGGCATATCCGTCACCTCAGATGTTTTATTATTTCTTTATTTTAGGAACATTCAAAATTCTCTCTACTATTTTTGTTTGTTTTTGCAATGCTGGGAAGGGAATCTGGGGCCCCACACATGGCATGCAAGTGTTCTACCACTGAGCTATACCCCCAGCCCCACTACTAGCTATTTTGAAATATTCAATTGTATCAACTGTAGTTATTCTACTGTACTATAGAATATCATATCCAACTGCTCTCCTGAAACCGGTAACTGTCCTCTCTCTGTCCCTTGCTTCCATTATTATTACTATTGTTGTTGTTGTTATTATTATTATTATTATTTTCCTCACTAAATTGTTGAGGCTGGCCTAGAACTTGCAATCTTCCTGCCTCAGCCTCCTGAGTCACTTGAATTACAAGCATGTGCCACCACCATTCCTTATTTTTTCCTTATGTATTTTTTTTAACTTTTTTTGTAGTTGTAGATACACCCAATACTTTTATTTATTTATTTCAATGAGGTGCTGACAATCAAACCCAGTGCCTCACATATGCTGGGCAAGTGCTCTACCACTAAGCTACAGCCCCAACCCTCCCTATGTATTTTAAAGAAAATTTATTATTATGTATAATCAGTGAATATGCCTAGTGAACCAGTTATTAGCTCCAGTTAATAACAATGGAGAAGAGTAAAGTCAGAGCTGAGTAGATGGTAAAGCTGAAATGGCCTTTTTCTCCTATCCCAGACACTACCTACCATTTAGACTCTTACCACCACAAATGAATTTTGTCTATTTTTAAGATAAGAAACAGGTCAGGCATGGTGGTGCATGCATATAATCTCAGCAATTCTGGAAACTGAAGCAGGAGGATCACAAGTTCAAGACCAGCCTGAGCAATTTAGAGACCCTCTCTCAAAAAGTAAAAAGAACTGTCGGGGGCTGGGGATATTGCTCAAGTGGTAGTGCACTCGCTTAGCATGCATGAGGCACTGGGTTTGATTCTCAGTACCACATAAAAATAAAATAAAGAGGGCTGGGGATGTGGCTCAAGAGGTAGCGCGCTCGCCTGGCATATGTGCGGCCCAGGTTCGATCCTCAGCACCACATACAAACAAAGATGTTGTGTCCGCTGAAAATTAAAAAATAAATATTAAAAAATTCTCTCTCTGTATCTCTCTCTCGCTCTCTCTAAAAAAATAAAATAAAATAAAGATATTGTGTCTATCTAAAACTAAAAAATAAATATTTTTTTTTTTTTAAAAAAGGACTGTGGATAAAGCTCAGTAGTAAGTGCTACTGGGTTCAATCCCTAGTACCACAAAATAAAGTAGGTAGGTAGGTAGATGGGTAGATAGATGGATAG